TGTATATATATATATATATAGATAGATAGATAGATAGATAGATAGATAGATAGATAGATAGATAGATAGATAGATAGATAGATAGATAGATAGATAGATAGATAGATAGATAGATAGATAGATAGATAGATTTTTTTTATTGTTTTTTCCTCAAAAGATGAAAAAAAAGTCAAATTTGACTTTTATTTAGTTATTATGTTTTAGGTATTTGGTATGCTCCGATTCTAGCTGCCTTTCATAAATGTGATTCTCTAATGAAAGCCTAATAAAATAATAACATATGTAATAATAACATTATTTTATTCTCCATTTTTTCCAGAGTAATAATCCCAAAATACAGAAAAAAAAATCACAAATATCTGTCAGAGTACCTTTACACAAACAGCTAGTTTTTTGCTGCAAGCTTCCGTTTCAGCTCATCATTCTCCTTCTGCAGCAGTTTATTCTGAAATAAAGAGAGAACGCAGCTCAATGAAGATAACCAGAGAAATTGTTAAATCAATTCTCTCTTGATTAATTCAGACGAGCTGAACCTGGAAGCTGTTTGCAGGAAATTAAATTTAGCAGTCTGTTAGAATAAAGTGGGTTGCTAAAGTAATTCCTTATGGAGGGGACTTTCCAACAGGACCAACCTTGTGTCTGAGTGCTTCCACTATCAGATCTCGACCTCCTCGTCTGATCTTTTCCTCCTTTTTTGCAGCTTGAAAGGCGTCGCCGATAACCGAGACCAGCACGTGAGCCTGAACAGAGTTAAACATTCACATCTGGGGCTCTGACATCTGAACATCTGTCTGAGGCAGGGTGCAGTCGTCGTTTTCTTTATTTAGCTTCCTGGTGTGGTTTTGTCCAGAGTTTGTTGCAGTGAAAACACTTACAAACTTCTTGCTCTGGAACAGGTAACAGTAGTACGTCTCTGCCGCAGGATGCCGGGCCACAAAGCCAAAAACTTTGGGTGAAGACGGCAGGACGGCACAGAAGGAGACGGTGGACAGAGGACAGGAGTACAGGAGAAACTGAGGACGACAAAGACGAGGAGGACGCTTCACCTGATAGTCCAAGACTCAAGTGTGCACAAACCCCTGGAACGACCGAGTGCTTCTTTCACAAACCTTGGTTTTGTTTTCCAAAACGTCGATCCCGTTCATGGACAGGAAAAGGTGCACCTTGCTTTTCTTTGCCGCCTTTTCTGAGGAGAACTGATCTGGGGTCTTGAAATGAGAGGGGATCAAAGAAATACGAGCGGATAAAGTGAATAAAATCTTGTTTTAGTAAAGAGAAAACGATTTTTGCTCATTTTAAACCAGCAGAAGGACTAACAATGAGTCTGAAGTCCTTCTGCTCCTGCAACGGCTTCAAATGATTTTAACAAGAACGTTTTGTTCCTAATTACAAAAACGACAAAATGAAACTGCTTTAAACGCATTATTGTCCAAAATATTGCAAGATATTTTACTGACAGAGGCTCTAAAAGCATATCATCAGACAAACGTGAGAATTATTCAATCAAAAATCAGCATCTTTAGTGTTTTCCTAGCTGTTGGCTGTGGCGGCCATCTTGAACCCAAACGTGACTCAGTTGTACACGCTCGTCTTGTTTAGGGTTTAGTAAAGGTTTGTAATGATATTCTTTTAGCAAATGATTCTGGTCAGTTTGTGATACTTGTACTCCTGGACCTTACCGCTGCTTTTGACACTGTTGACCACAGTTTCCTTATATCGCAGTTAGAACACTGGGTCGGGATTACTCGTGAGTGGTTTTGTTCTTATCTGAGTGACAGGAGCTTTTGTGTTAATGTTGGTAATGGTTTATCTGGTTCAGTGCCTCTTTCCTGCGGGGTTCCGCAGGGTTCGATTCTTGGAACCCTTCTTTTTTCACTGTATCTGCTCCCTTAAGAAACATGGTCTTTTGTTTCGCTGCTATCTGTTAAAAGCCAATAGTTCTTTCACAACTCACCCTCTGTTAAAATGTCTTAATGACATCAAGGCATGGATGGCTTCACAGTTTTTAATTTTCAACGATCAGAAAACTGAAGTTACTGTGTTTAGCCCTAGCTCTACCGTCGTCTCTGATCCCGTAAACCTGGACTCTCTTGAGCCATATCTTAAGACCGTTACAAATCTCTGGCAGGTTAGACTCTGACTTTAAGTTTAATAAACAGATTAACTCTTTCTACAAAAAAAAGCTTCTTCCAGTTTAAGCAGATTGCTCAGCTTAAGTCAGTGTTGACCATATCCGACCGTGATAAAATAGTCCGTACCTTCATTAAAACCTGGTTTAGCTACTGCAACGCTCTTTATGTTGGGGTCAGTCAGGTCGGACGTCTCCAACTCATTCAAAATGCTGCAGCTCAGCTCTTAAACTTGTAGGTTTGAGCATATTTCACCAGTTTTGTCCTCCCTTCACTGGCTCCGTGTGTCAGAATTGATTTTAAAATTACCTTTAAGTGCATAAAAGGCCTTGCACCCTCATTTCTCTCTGACCTACTTCAACCGTAGGTTCCCTCTCGGGTGCTGAGATCATCTGACCAGCTGCTTTTGGTTGAAGCTCAGAGATCAGACTTTTTCAGTCGTGGGCCCTAAACTCTGGAACAATCTGCCCCCCCCCCCAACATTAGACAGGACACTTCACTTCCTGTTTTTAAATCTCGCCTAAAAACTCACCTGTTTTTTGATGTTTAATTTAATGTGTGATTTCATTTAGCATTTCATTGATTTTGTGTTTTTTTATGTGCTTATTTTTAATGCTTTTAATTATATCTCGTTATTTTTTCTTTAATTTCTGCCATTGATTTCATTGTTAAGCACTTTGGTAACAGCTGCCGTTTTAAATACGTTTGATTTGACTTGATTACTTTCTGAGTTTCATTAAACTTCGTCAGGGGAAAACTGGGTAATCATGTGAAACTGAGGAAGCACCTTCAGGTTCTGAACCGCTTCTTCCAGGACCTGAAGTCCAGCGTGTCGGCCCACCTCCACCTGACCCAGAAACTACAGGAAAACACACGAAATGTTTCTAAGAACTAAAAGCTGGGGGGAAATCTCACATTTAGCTACATTTTAAACATTTAACGTTGAGATTTTTGAACGTAGGAACCAGGTTTACCTTGGCAGAGAACAGGATCTCGTGGTCTTCCTCTGGAAGTTCATACATCCTGAAGAGAAACTGAACAAGAACCTGCAGAACCAAAGAACCTGGAGAGGAAACTCTGCAGATTTGGTTTTAAACACGTGAATAAACCAAAGTGAGCGTGTTTCTTGTTGCTGTTCCGCTCCGAGGAGGATAAAGTCTGCTCGAGTTAATCAACACCCAAACATTTCTTCCTTATTGCTCTTTATCATGTTGCTCCGATACGTTGAATATTTATGACTTCAAAATGGAAAATATTTGAGATTAAATTTATAATTTAACACAAGGGATGATGTTTTATGGAGCTGTGGGTTATTTTTTTTTATTATCATTACGTTTTTGATAAAAAAAAAAAAAAAAGGTGAAGCAGAGAATCATCTGGTCAAGAGACAAACCAGGAAGTAGACAGGCCCCGCTGCATTTTTCAGATAGTTTCCTAATCCAAACAAGTGTAAATAAATTGGGTCAGTCAATATTTACCTGTGAAAGACAACTGTCGTTTTGTATGGATCAGATGTCAGGATTAGGGCCACGGTGCAATCATTTCCCCCCTTAATTCTGACTTTAATCTCAGAATCTGACTTTTTTTTTTCTCAGAATTAAGAATTTATTTTTTTGCACCATGGCAATAATCCTCCTCCGTAGCTTTTGTCTGCGCTTTCAGCAAAATTTCACATGAACCACACATCAGAGCTACAACTGAGTAACTTGAGGAGTCAACCTAATTCAAGATGGCCACCACAAAAATGTCTATAATGCAGCTAATTTTATGAATGTTGGGCTAAAATTTGGCGTGGTAGTTCCTGAGAGTCATCCTCAACACATATTTTGAGTCAGCTGTGGCCTGTCTGTTGGCAAAATGTGTTAGTTTTGGTTGGCTTCAAACTGAAAAGCTCACCATGAATAAAGCTGCGGTTAAATTGCAGACGATTTAATAATCAGCAAATCTAAAACTGAACCCTGACCATTAGTTTTAGATTAAAACTAGTAATTTCTTATGAATATAAGAGCTTCCATACCTTGAGTCTCATATTGTTAAATCAAGTGTGCATCTCAGGGGTTCCCAACTCTGGTCCTTGAGGAACACCATCCTGCATGTTTTAGTTGTTTCCTGCTAAGACACACCTGATTTTAATAAATGGGTGATTAACAGGCTTCTGCAGAATGAAAGGAAGTAATTAAATCACTGAATCAGGTGTGTTGGAGCAGGAAACAACTGAAACATAAAGGATGGTGTTCCTCAAGGAACAGTGTTGGGAACCACTTAAATAGACAAACTACAGCATTTGTCTTTATTTGTGCGCATGCGTAAAATCTGGCACCCCGTTGTCAAACACGATCATAGCTACTTGTGGTATTCAAGGTCGGCGTTCAGTCTTTGAGGTTAACTTTTAAGGATTTAAAACACAGGGTTATGTGTCCATTATATTTATTGTTTACAGTAAGTGCCGCTTCATCGTGTTACATTAGCGAGTCCATACAGAGGACATCCAAAGGTCAAAGGGGACACCATGGAGAGGAACTGAAACACCTGACCGCTCTCACCACAAAGATTTCCTGCTCCTCAGTTTTCATTTTAAAGCCACTTTCAGGCAGGAAGTCGTCGAAGAGCAGGTGAACGTTTTGAAGCTCAAGAGTTTTTACTCAAGCTGAATGAATCAACAGGTGGGTTGGCTGTTGTTGGTTTTAGGCTTTTTGTTGGTGAATTGATGACAAACAGAAAGTGTGCAAGTACAGATAGTTTATGTGCAAAGAGGGGGTGAGATGAACGAACTCCTCCACTCAGGTGGACACAGATGGGACAGAGCCAATCCTAAAATTACCTTTAATGGGATTCGAATGTTTGTTTTTTAGCTTTATCGTTTCATATTAAGGTCAACAACATTCCCTGATCATCATGATGAAACTGGAGGCTCTGGTCCACCAGCGGTCTGTGAGGAACAGCAGCTGGCATGTTTTGGGGTCTATGAGTCGTTGACGGACATGTTCTCCATGGCGTTGGGCAGGTTTCCTCCTCCCTGCTTCTTCTTCTTCCCTCCTCCTTCCTGCTGTTTCTTGGCTTTCTTAAGCACCTCCTGATCGATGGGGGCCGGCTTAACAAACTTAATGATCTCGTTCAAACCTGAAGGTGGAGAAAAGAAAAATAAATTTATGGCAGTTTTGATGTGCAAAGATGGTTAAACCGTTGGGGGGCGGGGGTTCCAATATTTTAGAAAAGGCATGTATGTAGTAGAGCCTGACTGATATATCTGTAGGGCCAATATATATTAGGCTGATAAAGACGTTTAAGGACATATCGATATCGGTGATAATTGTCATATTATGTTCTGATAAACCATATTTTTTGACATACAAGTCACAGTTTTTTTGCATAATTTATACGCCCTGCGACTTATAGGCCGAAGTGACTTATTTATGGATTTTTTCCCATATTTATAAACCATTTTTTGGCTGAGATATTATCGTTTTCATTCATTATGACTGAAATTTTTTTTGGGAGCAGTGCCACTTTCAGCCACTTGATGGCAGCAGAGTACAGGTAGCTGTATGGCATGCTGTTGTATCATGTAATAGGTAAACGTGGCTATAATGACAAATTCAAGAAAGTTCAAGACAAAAACAACTGGACTTTATTTATTATAATTTACTTTATACTTTTTTTCTTGAACTTTTTTGAATTTACCATGTCCTGATTTGACCGTTAACGTGCATTTATTAAGCAAACGTTAGATTGAGACACTTTTAATATAATTTCGAGCAAACAAATAATTGTTTTTAAGTGTTAATCTTGTTAAATTCTTGTTAAAGTCCTCCCGTGCATGCTCCCGTGTCGGCACGTCTCACCTGGAGGCATAAAGTCCCTGAGCTTCTCTGGAACGACGATGCCTTCCTCTGTTTGGTAGTTTTCCAGGATGGCACACATCACACGTGTTGTTGCACACATGGTGGCATTCAGCATGTGCACAAACTCTGCCTGCAGAACACAAGAAGAGACGATAAATTATGTTGTTAGGCGCCTGCAGACAAAGCCACCGTCTCACCGGACTGTGACGGTCGGAAACTCAAAACGGAGTAAATCGGTGAATAATACGTCGCAGTCCCACAGCATTCTGTTGGTGCTAGCATCTTTTACAAATCAAATCCTATTTCGTGAGCACAGATCGTAAAACTGTATTCAAGGTTGTGCAAATTATCGTTACCATCCTTTGCACACACGGTACCTGCAGCCATTTATGAATTAATCTGCTCCAGCAAACTTTAGAAATTAGGATTTGGAAGTTTTTCAATAAATATTATCATCATCAGTGTGGTTTTAAGACCTAGACACTCGAAGCTGAAGACTCGAAGGTCTTCGGTCATAACGGACCTGCGGCTCTGGTCTGAAAATACTCGTCTAAAATCTATTGATGCTAATCAGAGAGTGGTTTGAGATGCTCTGCGACCAGTTAGGGAGACAATATGTCGACGTTCAATCACGTAACATTTAAATGTAAAGACCTTCTTTTTATAAAATACCTTGTTCTCTTCCCATGAAAGAAAATGTTTTCTTATAGATGTTCAGTTCATTTAACGATGAACACTAACGAGTAACGAGCTTTTTACTTACTCTTTTTTTGAATCGTTTAAAAGATTTTTCTATCTGATGTCTTGCTAAATGGAATAAAAGAAGCTTTTCCTTCACCAAATGAGAAAACTGGCAGCTCATTTTGTCGAGAGGAAAATTCAGCCAGATTTTCTCACCGTCACAGTTCAGATGATTCATCCAAGAACAAAAAATAAAAGCTTGAACAAATCAGATTACATTCTCTGAACTACATCTAAGCGTTGCGCTCGCCTTATCCATCATCTTCTTGGTCTGCCCGTAGCGGATCTTGAGACGCCTGGCCTGGTAGTCGGTGCAGTTGGAGCAGGAGACCAGTTCTCTGAAGGCTCCCGAGCCAGGAAACCAGGCTTCAAGGTCCAGCTTCTTACTGGCCGCATGATTTAAGGCTCCTGCAGGGAGGATAACGACGTGCACAGTGAGCTGATGTCACGATCAGACTCCGTGTCAATAAACAGACTTTTCAGGTCACTGGGTGACGGGACAAGCACACTGAACTCCACTGAGCTGCGTGAGAAATACCAGAGACGATGTTGACGATACGATAAGGAATTCCCAGCGACTGGTAGAACTCCTCTGCTGTCCCGATCATCTCATCAAACATCTCCCACGATTTGCCGTCATGTGGGGAGGCGTAGACGAACTGCTCGATCTGCAACCAGAAACAGGAAGCTCAGATCCAGGAAGTAACATCCAAATCTTTCCTAACAAACATGAAGAGCCAGAATGTTTACAAACAACAACAACAACAACAAAAAGCAGTCTGAACGCAGAGCGCTGAATAACGCTGCTGAAACTGACTGAAGAAGCTGAAACAGAGTTGTTGGGCTAAAAATAAAAGCAGAACAGTAGCTAAAAGCTGAAAAAGGGGCAGAACTGTCGCTACAACGAGCAAAACACTAACTAAAAGCAGCAGAACAGTAGCTAAAAGTAAAAAAGGAGCAGAAATTTAGCTAATAAGAGCAAAAAAGTTGGTATAGCCAGTATAACAGTAGGTAAGCAGATCAGTAGCCAAAAGGAGAACTGTAGCTAAAATGAGCAATCAGCAGCTATAAACAGTCGGATATTAGCTAAAGGAAGCAGATCATTAGCTAAAAGTAGTACAACCGTAACAAAAAAGCAGTAGAACAGTAGCTAAAAGAGGCAGAACTATAGCTACAATGAGCAAAATAGTAGCTAAGAGCAGCTGAACATAAGCTAAAAGCTAAAATGAGCAGAACAGTACGTAAAAGCTACAGAACTGAGATTTTCTTCATCCAATATTTGGATGAAATGAGTGACCTAACAACATTACACCATCTCTGACCTTCTCAAACTGGTGCACCCTGAAGATCCCACGGGTGTCCCGCCCATGGGAGCCCACTTCCTGTCTGAAGCAGGTGGAGAAGCCGGCGTAGCGGATCGGCAGGTCCTCAGGCTTGAGCCACTCCTCCCTCAGGAAGGCTGCGATGGGCTGCTCAGAGGTGGCGATGAGATATTTCTCATCTATGGAGCTGTCGTCCGATTTCTCACTACTCTTACCAATCACCTGAAAGAAACACAATTTAAATAGTTTGGTTTTTTTCTTCATAAGTACTCTGGACAATTCTCAAGTTGAGTCTAAAACGGTGTTTGTCATCAACAATCCGTCCAAATCAGTGAGCTTAAGTTTCTTAAATCTGATGTTTGATGACCTGAACCAGCTGACATTAAGGTCATTCAAAATTTAAACATCTATTAATAAAACACAACGTTTGATTCAGCGGTGTCCGATCCTGGTCCTCGAGGACCACCATCCTGCATGGATCGTGGATCTTTGTCTGCTTTGATACACCTGATGTGGATGACTGATTAACAGGCAGAACATGGAAGACCTGCTGAAGAGAAGGAAACAAAGAATGCGGACTTTGGTCCCCGAGGACCAGGACTGGACACCACTGGAAAAGCTGCTTTCATGCTGGTAGAGCCGTCGCCTCTCAACGAGAAGGTTTGTCTCTGTGTGATGACATGAACATCCCACGTCCAACCTATTGCTTTAACTTGATAAGTTATTCATTTAGCAAAATATGAATTTTTAAACATCATGCCCCGTGCTGCAGGATACAGTCAACAGGACACAAAGTCTACAGTTAAAAGAAAAAAAAAAAAACAGTTACTGAATCCAGTCAATGACTACGAACCTTATAAAGCTCTTCGTCAAACTGGCTGAGCTGGGCCACTTCCTGCATGACCTCTTTCCTCATGAAGAACGGCGTGTACAGCATGGTGTACTTCTTGCTGTAGAGGATCCTTAAGGCGTAGTTGATCAGCGCCTGCTCCAGGAACACCAGAGGGCCCTGAACGCAACACGGAAAAGAAGACACCACGCAGCAGCTGATTTTTAAACTTGCAGGTCGAGAAGTTAATTAACCATCACTCGGTTTGGTCTGTGCAGACTGTGTCAGGAGGATGCCGGCCTGTTTGTGCTCATCTGCAGCCATTAACCTGTTTGTGTTTGTAAACTCACCTTTAGGAAGTAGCCTCTGCTCCCAGCCACAACGGCTCCCCTCTCTCCGTCAAAACCATCGATCATGACCACCAAGTCAACGTGAGAATATTTCTTCTGAGCGCTGCAGTCCCCCCAGGTACGCTCCACCTTGTTGTCTTCATCCTGACAGGAGCAACAAATAAATAAATAATGCGGCGTGAATTCATTAGTTTGTTGACAAAGCTATAGCGGAGTTGTTAAAACTAAAAGTAGAAATCAACATTTTCACAACGACTTGACTTTGCAATAAAAGCTTAACTGGTCAAACTACTTAAATGGATTTTGTTGGGTAAACGTGCTTACAAGAAAGACGATAAAATATTAATAAATAATAAAAATAATTGTCGGAACCAAATCTCGATTTTTTAATCGGAATATTCTTAGATTCCGTCTTATGTCTGGTTTTAGTCCTCGGGCTGTCGTGAAGCTCTTACCTCATCGTTGCTGATCGGAACAGACGGGTGCAGCAGGTTGCCGATCTCCCTCAGGTACTCGAACCGCTCCGCCTCCAGCTTCATCCTCTCCCCGTCACTTTGCTCCACAGCTTCGTCCACAAGCAAACGCACCTTTTTGATTTGTGTAACCGTCAGGGCCTGATGCAGAAAATAAAAAGGTTAGAAACAGCTAAAGCGGACACGACGACGCACAAAGAGTACTTCTGCTCCTACCGATAGTGTTTCTGCTGTTAGAGCCTCCAGGTTCTGTGCTTCTTCTGGTACAGACTCGTTGTCCCCAACTGGTTCTTTTCTCTGCATTAAAGATTACCATAACCGGGATGATTAAAAATCTAAACTGACACGAAAAACATATATTGACTCTAGGCCATTTCAAAGCTGAACTCTTCTGTATCCGTACCTTCATTTTCTCCCCGATGCTCTTGCTACAAAGGTTCTTCAGTTTGTTGAGGTTGTCTGCAGTGAAGCGGCCTGTCAGGGGTGAAATCTGTCAGTAAGGAGGGAAGGTGCATCATGGGAACAGCAGTTCTTTTGAGTGTACAGTAGTCCCTCGCTACTTTACGGTTTGTTTATCGCGGACTCGCTCTATCGCGGTTTTTCAAAATAAGATTGGACATGACACACAGTTGGCTGATTGATGGATGAGCCGCACGATCGGCATGAAATTTTAATTTAAAATGTAATATTTTTAATTATTTAGCACCTCCTGCACCTTTGTGCAGCCCACGCTGCAGGATAAACTTCCTGCTGCAGCCGATCAGCTGATCTCCGTGCACAGCGGAGAAGTGGGCGTGGCCAAGAGCGCTTGGAGCATCACTGCTGCGAATCTTAATCACTCTTCTTCTGTCTCCTCTCATTACTTTATGTGTACCTGGCTTAGACTGTTCAGATAATGAGGGTGGGGACGGGGGCATGTGTGCGTTTATTTTCATGTGGCTTGACTCACCATTAGCCGTTAGCTTGGAGAAAAGGATGCCGTTTCCAATGGCATGAGAGCGTGTCACCGCGAGGAGGAAACGGTTACAATCACTCAGGGCCGAGTCAAAGAGTGTTTCGTTCACTGAGTGATACATGTAGATTATTTGCAGTGAGCGAATCACAAGTCACATTCGCTCAGGCGTCAACAACAGTCCCTCCCTGCCTGCATGGCACACGCCTCTGTGTTGTTCAGATTCATATGTGAGCCACAGAACGCTCACACTGAGCTCAAATGAACTGAGAAAGGAACAAATCAGTTAATACAGTGATTCGGTTCGGTTCGTTCACTCAAAAGATTCGTTCATTTGAACGAATCGTTCGTGAACGACAACACTGCACTGAGCTGCTACATCACCATCCGCTTTATTAACCTGGTGACAGCTGTCCTCAGCAGCTAATACTTGAATGATAACAACAAATGTGTAAACCAGTTATGGTTAACAAATATATTAAAATAATAAAATGATTGGTGTAAACACGAGGAAGCAGAATGAAAGCGAGGAGCTGCACTGCAGGGGAGGTTGATGCAGACTGGGATTGCATCAGATTATAACTCATCATTACCAACCTCTTTATAACCGTGAGAAATCGAAAACTGACGTTTAGTGGATTGGAAATTGTTCTATTACAAAGGATCTTTTAAATGGGGATGATTTATAACCACTCGGTTAATTTGGATTTATTAAACTGTGGCAGTTAGCTTTGGCTGACAACATTAGCCTATTAGCCTCACTGCGTGCCATTCTCCTTTTCTGAATAACACTAAAACTCAAATCAAATTAAACTCTAAATTGCTGTTTAATGACACACGAAGCAACCGTGTAGATTTTGAGGAAATATATGTACACCCTGGAGCTGGACGTTAGGTCCTTTCTTGTCCCAACCTTAGCTTAGCATCGTTAGCCAACGCGCTAACGTTAGCTACCTGCTGTAGCTAACATACATAACGTAGCTTACATTTTCTCCACTCCGTGTCAGCGGCGACCAGCTTATCAACCAGGGTTGCATCTTTAAACCTCTTCCTCTGAGTCTCACGGATGATTTCTGGGTCGCCGCCTTTGTCGGTCCGAAATAAGTCCAGATCGAGCACCATGATGTTTCCACGCCGGCTGTCAGACTGAAGGAAACCGCACCGGCTGGGTTGCCAGGTTTGGTAACTCGAGCAACCAATACGACTTTTCCTTTAACGAGGATTCATTTTAACATTTTCTAATTTTAAAAAAAGTCTAGTTATTATGATTATTATTCTTAGGCACGTTTCTCAAATGAGAACTTTAAATGGCATTTTTATTAATTTCAAGTTGAGAATCTAAACTTTACTTAAAAAAATGTTTTTTTTGTAATCTGGCAACTTTTACAAGCTCTGAGTCAGTCCTAAACACACTGAAAAACATGCTTAGTTTCAATAGTAATTATGTAAAAAATTGATAGTTATTGTGATTATTTTTCATTATCAAACCAGTTCCATTTCTAATGAAATGTTCAGATAACATGTTTTTATTCAGATAAAGCATAAATTAATCCAAACCTGGTTTTCTTCATCCTGCAACTCCTAAAGTTTAGTTTAAATTTGACACCAGTATTTGTTACAAAGACTGACAAAACATGTTTTCTGTTTGCCTTAACAGATGCTTAAAATACAAGAATGTGTATCTTGACAAAAATTACTGTGCAATTTACATACCACACTTCGATATAAAAGTACAAAAGGCTAGGATCTCTTCATTTTTAAACAATAACATAAGAAATGCATACAGATAAATAAAGCATGACTGTAAACACAAATCTGTAATACTTGTAGTTTTTTAAATAATCTCAATGGGTAACTTTGTAGACTAACAACATTAGGTGAAGACAGGTTTCAGGAAACTATCTTTTTGTCCTTGAGAAAAACTGGATACATAAATTGTGTAATACACAAGTCATAGTGCATTGTACCATGTATTTAAGAACCAACTTCTTGTCTAAGCTGAGAACACATGTGGTATTATAGTTTAAAGATCCTCTCAGTTCACTTGGTCTTTTTGCCTTTTGGCCCTCATGATGTTCCCAGCCTCGTGGATGGCCCGCTGCAGAGCAGCTCCTGCAGGTACCGTAGCAAAGCCCTCCTCTGTGATGTGGTTTATCTTCAGGTAGCTCCCTGGCCTGTGCAGGGCCACTCCATGAAGGTGGGAGAAGAGCAGCGGTAAGTCGTTCGTCAGCGTGTAGTGGGATGCCAGCCTCAGCTCCGTGGGGATGTCCGTTTCCTCAGAGTACTCAAAAATAGCTGACATGTATTTGGACAGGTCCTGGCCTCTGGCTTTGGCTTGGCCCACCTCTGCTCCAATAATCCGGATGACAGCCTCAGAAACGTAAGAATCCGGTGCATCCTCGTCTTCTTCATTCTCCTCTGGCTCTGCAGGCTTATGTCTTTTACCGAACCCTTGAGAACATATCGCCAGGACAAAGTCGCTCTCCTGGATCTGCCGACAGTGCCAGGCCATACTGCCTTCCTCAGCCACACCCAGGGAGTCCCAAAGGTCCAGGCACACCTGAGAAGAAACACAAGCAAAGCCCCAGGACAAAAAAAACAAACAAAAAAAAACAATAATTCATCAAAACTCATACTAATCTAATAAACTCAGAATATTTAGTCAGTTTTGCAGAAATGACAAACGTTCTTCAAATATGCGACATGTGCAGAGTACCCGAGTTGCCATGTGCTGCTGTATGAAGGCTCCTAAATGCATGACAGCCTGGACATGAGAGGGGCCGTCACAGCTGCTGTAGCAAATCAGGAGATGTGGTGGAGTCAGCCGGGCTCTGGGCAACGACGCCACTTCCTCTTTGGTACCATTTTCTTCGTGCAGCCTAATAATCTCTACAGGGACGAGCAGATGAACAGATTAATTGTGTAAAGCCAGGGTTTTATCGCATGGTCTGGTTTGTGTTTTCACCTGGTTTCATGTCAAGGTTCTTCCTGCGCATCTTGGACTTCTGACAGCTGAGAGCAGCCAGGAAGACTCCGAGCACAAACACCACAGCCAGACACAGTGGGATCACCACAGCCAGGGAGGGGGGGTCAGAGGCCTCCTCTGAGGGGGGAGCAGCTGTAATGAGAGGCCAAAGCAGCGTTAACAACGTTCATTGTCTAAAACATGCAAATTCTCATTTTATGGATTTTCTGAGATTGCGTCGCTTCTGATCAACACAAACTAAAATTGATATTGATTGATTGATTAGTGAGCATGAACTTTGACATAAGAAGATGCTCACGAGCTTGTGTAGTGACAAAAACAGAGTCTCTATGTCAGGGCTATTCAACTAAATTGCTCAGGGGCCACAGTTACTGAAAGCCAAGAGCTCAGGGGCCGGATATCCAGCAGTTATTGTCATTAAGTAAGTTTGTTTTATGGTTTAAAATCTAGTTTTATTTAAATATGAACCCAATGAAGGGCCGAACTGAGCTCACCCGTGGGCCTGATTTGGCCCCTGGACCACCAGTTGAATAGCCCTGCTCTAAGTCATCTGAATTGTCCTGCAGACCTGTTATTTTTATTTTATTACAAGGTCTTCCTGTCCACTCAGGCTTAAGGACAGGACCAGGACAGAATGAGCGCCGACTGAACATTAAGAGTTAAGCTCATTTCTTATTTTATTTATTACTTCTGTCTTTGATTTTAGGTGCGGGGAGGGACCTTGTAAAGTCAGAATTTCTTTGCCCAGTGTAACCACCATGTCTTGCAGAGCACGACATTATACTTCCAGAATCCCGTTTGTGGGTAAACTTGGCATCGATCGTCTTTTTTTTTAACTGATCTAGCAGGCAGCTGGTAAATCAGCACCTTCTTAAACACTTGTAATTTTTAACTCCACCCTGAAACATAAATTACACGTATAACTGACACATTTGAGAACTTAAAGTCTCCGTGCGACCTGAATTTATAACTCATGTCAGGTTGTTTTTGTCAATCTTTTTAAAAGACTGCTTATTAGGAGGAACAGCACATGCTCGCACAGGTTTTCCACATCATGAATCCTTGGCTAATCACAGCTAACAGATACGCTATGTACTGCGATAACAGCACTTTTTGTTTTAATAATAAAAGGTAAAGGGCTTAAAATCTTTCACCATGAGCTGTAAAGTAAAGAGGATCCGAAGCAGCAACAGTTTCTTCTACCTTTCCGGTTTCCGATGACGTGAATATTGAAGGTTTTCCTCACTGCATCAATTACATTTGCCGCAATCTACAACAGAAGAAAATATTTAGCAATGAAGTTGATTTAATCTGGGAAATTATTGTTAGATTAATTAATTATGATTATTGAGCCACTCAGTCAGACATGAACTCTGATAACACGGATAATACAGTTCTGCTCCTGGGTACAGTCCCCAAAGTTCGTATGACTCTCAAACAAACCCCGATGTTTGAAAATGCTCAGCGAGGTGGCTCAGAAACAAAATATAAACGGTAAACGTCTGAAAACAAAGACTGCCTTTTGGTGGAAAAAGCTCAAAGGTTGGCAAAGTCTCACCTCACAAGTGTAGTTGGTTCCTTGTTGAAGGTCAGTCAGCTGGTGGCTGTGATGAGTTTTGTTTATTGAGGAATCCTGAGGTAAATCAGAAAAACATATTGTGCATCCCTTCAGAACTGGAGACAAGACGAATAGCTGCTGAAACTGACAGAATAATGGTCGGCATGAGAAAACAGGAACTCATTAGAACTGCAGTTAACGCCAGCACTTTACTTTGTTTTTGTTGATTTTTTTTTTAATGGCTAAAAACTTCCTGCCAACATATTGTTTAAAAATCTTCACGTGACTTTTTTGTTTAAATCTGAACAGTGACAAAGATACTTCTGAGCTCTGCAGATGTGATTCTGTATTTACTCCATTTGGACACAGGGGGCGCTGTTTCTGCACAGAGAAAGTGTGTCTTTATAGTTTGATTCAAGATTCTTTACTGTCATTCACATGTGGTACATGAGGTGGAACGAAACTATGTACATCAGATATGTATGACCAGAACAAAAGCAGCCTAAATCTAACGCAAGCTCGGTAAATTAATTTGCAGAGGGAATTAACCCTTTAATTACGAACGTGTCGCAGACGAAACGTTTTCAGGTGGTAAATTTTTCTTAGGTGGTAAAGAGTCAATTTCTCTGAAAACAGAGTCAACGCTGAAAGCTGAATTATTTTGCTTGTATTTGCTGAAGAAGCTGAAACTGAGTAGTTAAAGCTAAAAGAAGCAGATCAATAGCTAAAAGCTAAAAGTTGCGCTCTGGCTTGGCTTCATTTTAAAAGCTAAAAGTTGCTAAATACAAGCTAAAAGCAGTAAAAAATTAGCTTTAAGCTGAAAGTATCAAAAGACAAGCTAAAAGTAGAAAAATACTAACTAAAAGCTAAAAGTACTTAACTAAAGGCTGGCAAAGCTAAAAGGTAAAAGTAGCAATAGGCTAGATAAAAACAGCAAAAAGCTACCTAAAAGCTAAGAGTAGCAAAGTATAGCTAACAGCTAAATGCAGCAAAGGACTGCTAAAAGCTAATGTAGCAAAAGATAGCTAAAAGTTAAAAGTAAGTAATTCAAAAATAAAAGTAAAGTAAAAAAACAAAACTTAAGTCAGCATTCTAAAGTAGATCTAAATAAGAAAAATGGTTTTAAAGGACTTGAAAATATTTCCTTGTGTTTTCTTGGACGAAATATTGTTAATAAAGTTAAACATTTTGAAAATTACAATCGTTATAAAAATAAAAAAAAAATCAAAGGTCGTGGCGCCCATCTGCTGAATGAGCCGAACATTTTCATGCACAAATAGCTAAAGTAAGCACAAAGTCTGCAGAAGTGGATAGATTGCAAAGAAATAAAGAAAAAGTAAAAAACAAAAGTCTGAACGCTGAATCAAATGAAAACGCTCACGGGGATTATGGTCGTGTATTTCTTCACGCCGTTCGCGTAACACCGACAGAAGTAGCTCCTGATGTCCAGGTTCGGTGGAGCCAAGTTGAAGGTCACGGTGACGACAGAACCTTCCTGCTGGACCGCGATGTGCTTCGGGTACCAGTCTGCAACCACACGATGAGAAACCTGCACTTGAAGGCAACATTTGAACATGAGATGTTTCTACCGTATTAGACTGAACAATAAACAGTTTGTCTAACCTTGTTTGCAACGCTCGAGGCCGTTCTTCTCTGCACATGCTGAAAAACAACCATTCACAATTTTGTTCTTCAGAAAAGAACTAACTTGAAAGGATGATATGTCATAACTAATAAGGTATAAAAAAAAAAGGGGCAATCAAGCAATTCAGATGGTAAATGTCACCTTAAAGGAACTGCCTTATTAAGATAACGTGAAGCTGAGAGCTCCACAGTGTCTTACAGCGAGTAGAGAAGATCTTGGTGTGATAAAACTTCTCCCATTGCTCAGGAACTGGCAGAGCCATGACAGTAACAGCATACTGGGATCCCAGGGTGAGGCCAGTGAATGGGTCCGACTTGTAAAACTGTGAAAGACGAGGGAGCGACTTTGACTCATTTCAAAAGTAAAGTGAAAGTTATGTCTTTATCCCTTTGGGCACTTCTCTCTGACGTAGAGAGGTCCACCCTTTATCATACATGGAGAATAATGGAAGAGCGTATCTTAACAGTGAGGAAGTAAAAGCCCTCTTTCCTACCGTCTGAGCATCTGATGGCGAGAGGGAAACGTTACGGTTAAAGAGGAACAGCTGGCAGGCAAAAGTGAAACCTCCCAAAGCCTGGATCGACACTTGAAAGCCTCGCAAGAAGGCAAGCCCTGCAACAAGCACAGAACAACAACGTTTACTTCAGTGGCTGTTAAACGAAACCTTTAACTCTGTTACACACCTATGACTCATTCACCATCATGTCATGCTGAACTGTGTGCGTGACAGTTTCAGTCCAAAAAGTTCCACAACTTTCTGAAAGACTAGACTCATCTCGAGGTTGTCGCATCTTTTAGGAAACTTCTGGTCAGCTTGCATGAAAGCACAAACAAACTAACTGCATAAGCAACACAAATATGTATTTGGACATGGATGTTCTCTGGCATGCATCCCCCCCCCCCAAGCCTTGTACTTCCCAAATGGTGTCTGATGAGCTCGTCATATGCTTTCTGCTTTAGTGACATAAGGTTTATGAAAAATATTTACCCAGACAAAAATTGGTGTCCAGTGGAATGTACTTTAGAGGTATGGGGTTTCTGAACCCCCCACCAAGAGCCATTTGGTCCCTATACAACCAGAGCTTGGTTTGCATTACCAGTAAAGAGTCCGGCTTATTTCCAGTGAGTGTTGGATTAAGCCAAAGGTGCATTTTGACTTCTAGGTTCAGCCATGGGGCAGAGCGTTTCTGCTTTAAGAGCTTCAGATTGTGCATTCCACGGTCCTGTTGGTCTCTTCATGCCAGGACCTCCAGCAGGGACTGAAGCCGAGCGTGAAGCATCCTTTAACTGGCTGGGAATCAACCACAGCCCCAATAAAAAGGGGTTCAAGTATTTCAGGTCTTGATGACAGGTGGGGGAGGAGAGATGGAGACTGGAATGATGGACTGAAACATCTGTTCCTGGACATTGTAAAGGTGAGGTGGTTTGGGCTTGATAGAGTATATCTCACAGCTGGCCCCATGGAGTCCCTCTGGTTCATCTGGAAGAAGTAGCTGTGGGATCTCTAAGCTGTTGCAGCTTCAATTCAGATGGGACGACATTGCACGGTCACGTTCACCACCTTAAGGGATATTTTTAGGATTTGTGGACAACCTGATGATTGACCAACAAAATAAAAAAAAAATCTGTCCAACCACATTCATAGATGTGCAACATTTAACTTTTCAAATAATGAGGCTGGTTTTAATCTTTATGAGAATCCGATCAGTGTGCATCAGCGTACCATAAAGACTGGGCTTCCAGGAGACAACGGCGGTGTCAGATTTGGGGTCCGGCTCATGAACAAACTCAATCTTTACATCGGTTGGTGCATGAACGTAGTGCTGACAGATCCGGGGGTCCTCATCTCCGAGCAGCTCGAAACATGGCCATGGAATACAACCTGAGGAGACGTGGCATTCATTTTACACACTTATGCTGAATTATGCATCTTGTTTTTTTTTATTTTGACGTCCTTTCAGGACTAAAAGTGCAAGACCTGCCAATAAGTACAGTAGGATTTTGTAAAATCTGTGGACAAATTCTGCAGGATGATTATGTTCCTGTTAAGGGAAAGATCATCTTAGAACCAACAAAACACCTGTGGTCATGTCATTCTGAGCTTTAAAGCAGTTTGACTAAAACAGACAAAGGTCAACGCAGTCTGTCTGAATCTTACTTCCAAACGTCCGGATGGAGTTCAAACCCAGAGCCTTCTTGATGTCATCCCTGGTGACTCTGCAGTACTCGCATGCAGGTCGCCCCTGCAGAGACAAAGGGAATTTTAACATTTAAAGATTAGATTCATGGTCAAAATGAAACCAGCCACTAGGGAGCACAAGCCAGTGTACACTATTATAGCCACTATAAGCTTCTAACTAGCCTTGTGCTACTTTTAGCTGGTATTTTGCTAGTTTAAGCTAGTCTTTTAATACTTTTAGGAACAACAAAGTCCGTGCTCAATAATCCAGGTATACAATCCAACATTTTTCAGTCAACGTTTCGCCTTCATCAGTCAAGGAAACACACAACAAAACTGATTCTTCCCCCAGCAGCTTACTCCAAAGTGGAACAAACCAGTTATGTTGGTGCTAAGATGGTCTCTTTGTCACGCCCCCTCCTCCATTGCCGGCCCTCTTCCTCGTCGACAGTCATGTCAAACTGGTTGAAAACAACAAAGTCCATGCTCAATAATCCAGGTATACAATCCAACATTTTTCAGTCAGGTCATCTGGACTTTTAGGAACTTTTCTGCAACTTTTACCTTTTAACTACTTTTACCTTGGGGAAGTCTTTTAATGTTAGCTTCTAATTTTGATATTTTGGAATCTTTGAGCTTATTTGCTTGTCCTTTGCTATGTTTAGCTATTTTATCTACATTTAGCTATCATTCTGCTACTTTTGGCATTTAGCTAGCCCTTTGCTACTTTTATCTTTGAGCTGCCTAATTATATTTACATTTTGCATTTAGCTTTAAAACAGAGTTTTGCAAATATTAGCTTAAAGCTAGCCCTTTGCTACATTTAGCTAGCATTTTGCATCATTTAGATTTTAGTTTGAGGTTTTTGCTGGTGTTAAATGGTAAATGGACTGTACTTATGCATCACCTTTCCATCTTATCAAGACACTCAAAGCTCTTTACAACACAATCTGTGCCTCGTTTACCCATTCACACAGCTAGGTCTACAAACCAATCTGAATCTATAAGAATAATCAGAGCTTTTTCACATTCATGCACTGATAGGACACACATCGGAGGCATTGAGGGGTTTAGTGTCTTGCCCAGAGACACTTCAGCATGTGACTGCTGGTGGAACTGAACCCCCAACTCTCCCAATGGACGACGATTGCTCTTACCACTCATCCACAGCTGCCCTAACATCTGCATCTAGCAAGTCTCTTGCTACATTAGCTTTTAGTTAGCTTTTGCTACTTTAAGTCTTCATCTACTGTTTTGCCAGTTTTAGCTAGCATTTAGCTTCTTTTAGGTTTTAGCTATTGTTCTGCTTCTTTTTTTCCGCAAATATCAGCACTAAGAGTGGCTTTTCAGACAAAATTTATTTATTTAGTCATTTTTTCTTGTTTTGTTAGATAAAAATATTTTCAGTCTAAAGCTCTAATACTTCCAAACTACACAATTCTCCTGAATTTTATTAATTTTTTTAAAAAAAAGCACTTTTATATTTTGACTTTATACTGTAACAGATTTAAGGAGCAGAGGGACACCTGACTCTGGTCATGCTGAGACACTAAAAACATTTGAAACATCGTCTGTTGGCAACTTTCTTCCTCCCTGCAGAGGATTATTAAATTATTAATTGTTAAAACTCAAGTCTGTCATTTTTTTAATCTTTTGCACAGGTTGTTTCTGTCACTTTTCATTTATACAACCAGGAGGCAGATAAATCTAAAAGATGAGTAGACTACCATCAGATATAATATTTTACAGGTGAAGTTTGATGGTTTGTCTTTAAAAAATAATAAAAAAAATAGCCAAAACGGTATTAAAGAATGCATCAAATTTCTTTTTTTTTTTTGCATCGTTTTCAAAAGCATAAAAATCCCATTATATGTGCTTTTACGCAGACGACAAACTGGTTTAATTCAAAACAACTACGATTTAATGCATTGAGCATAAAACTTTTACAGAAAACGTTTATGCCCGACAGCTTGAAGCTTTAACTGTCCCCAAACCTGTAATATAACACTGCGCCTCATAACGAGACCTCAGACGTTCAATGGAATTTCATTTAAAGACTTTTGAAAAATATGGAGCCAATTATTTTGCATGGACTTCCTTTAGGTTCTTTTCTCTGGTTTCTCTCTGCGGGGCTCAGCTGTGAGTCGTATAACATAATTTAGTACGTTCTCCCAACTCTTTCCTGGGCTGTGATTCAATGGCCTGCAGCTCCGCTAAATTTATTACAGAAAAACATCCATTTGAATCAAACACGGGGCGAGTGTGGCTCAGACAAAAAGCTCATCTTCCAGAGTAAAGTCACTGCTTTAGTCTTTAATAATGCATATTTGGCTAAATGCACGAGTGCAAATAATAAAAAACTCAAGTCTTGGATGAGTTTATGTGAATAATATGAATGTAAACATGTTTTGTCACCAGAATCAGGTTTAAAAAAAGTTTCCACTCTTCAGTCAAAAAGAGAAAATCTGTATCTGAAAGTGAGCAAAATCATCAATGATGGAAAACTTTTGTAGCTAAATGGATTTTTGTGACATGACGGGGTTTTTTTCATCACGTGAAGCGTTTTAGATCAGAATTTGTGCTTTGGATTAGTTTGTCTCACGTATCGTTTCTTCTTTATATAAGAAATATAAAATGAGTCGAGTTACTTACCTGTGACTCTTCAGATTCTGGTTTGGGTCAACTAAAGTCTTTTTTGTTCCATAATGCTTCGTGATAAAGACTAAGAATGCATCTAAAACTTACTGTGATGGAAAATTAAACACGGATATTAACTCCCTCACGTAACGCAAGTCCAACATGACTGGAACATCTGAACTCAGAGAGTTGTGTGAAAACATTTTGTACCCGTTTTGAGCACCTGTTCTCACTGTTGGACTATGGTAAGGGAAGTGTCCCTGGGTTTAATTATTTTCAAACACATGAAGGGACTGGGAGGAGAACCAGCACCTCAACATCCGAGGCCATGGTCCTCAGTCAGAAAAGGGTGGATTGGTCTCTTCGGGTGAGGTTCTGCCTCAAGTGGAGGAGTTCAAGTATCTCAGGGTTTTGTTCACGAGTGAGGGAAGAATGGAGCGCGAGATTGACAGACGGATTGGTGAAACATCTGCAGTATTGCGTACGCTGTCCCGGTTCGTTGTGGTGAAGAGGGAGCTGAGCTGTAAGGCAAAGCTGTTTACTGGTCAGTCTACGTTACCTTCACCTCTGGTCATGAGCTCTGGGTAGTGACTGAAAGAACAAGATCGTGGATACAGGAGGTTGAAATGAGTTTCCTCCACAGGGTAGCTGGACTCTCCCTTAGAGACAGAGTGAGAAGTTCAGTTATCAGGAGAGACTCCGAGTAGAGCCGCTGCTCCTCCACATCAAGAGGAGCCAGTTGAGGTGGTTTGGGCATCTGGTGAGGATTCTTCCTGGGCATGTCCGAGTGGGAGGAGACCCCGGGGAAAACCCAGGACACATTGGAGAGACTAAGTCTCTTGGTTGGCCTGGGAACGCCTTGGAGTCCTCCCAGAAGAGGTGGCTGTGGAAAGAGAGGTCTGGACCCCCCTGCTCAAGCTGCTGCCCCCGTGATAAGTGGAAGATGATGGATGGATGAAGGGACTGCCCCTCGTGCGCAAAGCTTTCCATAAAACCTGTCACTCGTAGGTTTGATTACATGTCACCAGTTTTGTCCTCCCTTCACTGGCTCCCTGCATGTGTCAGAACTGATTTAAAATTCTCCCGTTGACCTTTAAGTGCCTAAATGACCTTGCACATGCATATTTCTCTGATCTTCTTCAACCATGTTCCTTCTCAGGCGCTGAGATCATCTGACCAGCTGCTTTTGGTTTTACCAAAAACAAGGCTGAAGCTCAGAGGTCGGGCTTTTTCCAGTCATGAGCCCTAAACTCTGGACCAATCTGCCCCCCAACATTAGACAGGCCACTTCACTTCCTCTTTTTAAATCTCTCCTAAAAACTCACCTGTTATCACGTTTAACACAGTCCGGTTCGATTTACCATTTCATCGCGTTTGTTTTCAATGCTTTTAATCGCATCTTATTATATTTTTCTTTAATTACTGCCTTGATCTTATTGTTAAGCACTTCGGTAACAGCTGCTGTTTTAAACGGGCTTTATAAATAAATTTGACTTGACAATCTGTAGTGGTCGCCCAGACAAGCGCATAATCTCTGACCTGGATTTGCAGCGACACAAAAAAGCTCTGTCTCCTCCGAGCCTCCGTGTGGACCTCAGCACCTCCAGGAGCAGCTGATCAGCTGCCCCGAGCAGGAGAATGCAAATACTTTTCACGTCGATCAAAACAGGAAAAAAAACGAGGGGACTTCTGACCACGTCGAGCCAGGACTGTCCCACGATGCTGGAAGTGTCAGCTCCTTCCAGGGGAACGTGGATAAAGGAACTTTCAGGCTCCAGGAGCCATACGTGGCTGTTACTGACGGAAACGTTAAAGATTTTTAATGGGCAATTCCCTTGTCCCACATATACAAAGTCCACCTTGCACCGTTTAGTTTTTCGGTTTCTTCTCCGTTAGTAATCGTAGCAGAGGCTGTAATTATTTATTGTGCAACGTCAGCTGGAGCCTGAACACACGAGCAAAACCTTCACAAGTAGGAGAACCTACCTGATGGATGCATTCCAGGCTGCAGTCCTGAGGGGTGACAGCTGCAGCCGAGGCACCCGGCCGAGCAGCAGCCGAAAGCTGCAACAAAACTAGAACTTCCCTCCACATGCTGCTACGGCCGGCATGACGTCCCTGCGAGAAAGCCCACGGCAGGACTGTTTTCTGCTGAGTGCCAGAGTACAAAAACCTGGGAGGAGGGACGGCGACACGGAGGGGAGTGGTGTCCCGAGGCCACAGGTGGAGAGGAGCAGCCAGCGAGTTTCTCCTCGGCATGTTCTGACACCGTCAGGTGAAGCTGCAACACACGGGAGGGGTTCTGCCTCAGAGTCTGTGAGCGAATGTTAGAAACTGACCTGCAGCACACGCAGACACAATCCACCCAACTCCAAGTCCTGTTTACAGTCGTGTTTATTAGATACAGATGCTCCGACATTTCCATCATTTACGACACCGACACGACGACGGTTATTTACAGGGGGGGGGGGGGGGATTTTAATAAGTCTGGGAGGGCAGGAGAAAGTACTACAAATACAAAAGTAAAATATTTCCATTTGTGAAACTCTGAAAAAGTAAAGGAGACACAAGAAAACATTCCCACGAAGACGCCAGAGCTCGATTCTGATGATCATCGAATCTGAAAAGGAGAGAAAAAACAAGTTTAGACGCAAATCTAACATTTAAATTAAAAAAGAAACGTCAAATTTATTGTTTATTTTGTTTTATGTTTCGATGCGATACGTTTTTCTGCGTGTTCTGAGGTATTTATATCTTCTCGTGTTGCGTTTATTTCAATACAAACGATTCTTCGAAGCTGGCTTCACAAATATTCCTCTGCGTCACGGAGTTTAAATCGTTCAGAGAACACGTTTGTTTCCAAACGTACTTACCATATTTATTGCTGTATAAGTCACATCTTTTTGCATCAATTAGCATGCATGCAACTTATACAGCGGAGCGACTTATTTGTTTTCTCCCCATGACAATTTCATTAATTCTGACATGGAAAATATTGAACACTAACATTTTCAGCCACTAGGGGGCCCTCGACCAATATGGCAAGCCAAGTGTCTCATTAATAGGTAAAAGTGAGTATTAATGAGACACTTGGCTTGCCATACAAATACACCTTCATCTTGCTCTGGAACTCCTGGAGCAAACGTCAAATCAGCTGCATTTCGCCGCATTGCCCATATGAAAAGCAGCTGATTTGACCATTAAAGTGAATTTATTAAGGAAAAGTTAAACTGAGGCGCAGCTTTACGATAATGTCAAGCGAATAAATAATTGTTTTTAGGTGTTAATCTTGTTAAAGTCCTCCCGTGCATGCTCCCACGGCCTCCATTTGGCAGACAGTAGATTTTTGGCACAACACTGGCCCACATTTCCGGGTGGTCAGCGGTGACGCGTAATAGATGCGACTTTACGGTAATTAGCAAATGAAGGTCCAGGTTCTCCAGCGAGTGTTTCCTGGTCCAGATGAGTCAACAGCAGACAGATCGTCACGGCCTCCTCTATTTTCACCAACCCTCCTGCTGCCCTGGGGTCAAAATGACCCACAAAGTTTTAATGATGCATACTTTTATTGCTGAGGCCTTGTGAGTTATTTTGACCCAAGGGCAGCTGGAGGGTTCTTAAAATTTTAAATGCATCCTTTTGAACTAAAAGATGCAACATGAGCGCTGCTTTAATCCGATTGTTTTTACCCTGAAAATAACAAGAAAAGCTGGATTTTATGCACCGTCTAAAATTCATCCCTGGAGTGGAGTTAAAATGACTTGACGTGTCAGGATAATGAGCTATGCAAGTTTTCAGTAAGCTTTAAACATATGACAATAAATCTTTTTGGTTGCATTAGTAGCAAAACTCTTCACAAGAACCTCTGTAAACCTTTCAGCTTAATCAGTTAAAAGTTTCTATTGCAGGTCTGCAGAAAACTCATAATAATACAAAAAAAAAAAAAAGCCAAATCTGGTTGTTAACATCCAATAAAGCACCTCCTACTTCTTCATATTTTAATTATAGGAACAAAGAATTTTATATTGCAGGAAATCTGCTCCGATCTGATAAGAAGCATCTTTTACAGCATGCCTCTGCACGTCCAAATCAGCAGTTCCACCCTGCAGGACGAGGCGTTCACGCAGCTGTTTATGTAGCTCCCCGGAGTGATTGCACTTTTAAAACCCGTCGTGCACATGTTTGGACCAAGAACAAAGGTTATTACTGTAATTTGAAGTTGGAGTGGTTTGGAACAGGTGCATAAAGAATTAAGTCGTGCTTTGGAAACGTTGCACCTTCAAAACAAGACAAAGCTGAACTCTTTCCAGTGGCAACAACACAAATCCTCCTGATCCAGAAACTACTCATAAAAAGTGGATTACAGACAAAAGATTAAAGTTTATATCAAAAGTGATTTTATCCTGAAGGGCGAAAATTGCAACCAGTGGTTTGATGAATTTCCACCAACTTGGACTTTTAAAGATTCAAAATAAAGTGACTTTAAATCTTTTACTAAATGACTTGGCAGAAGACAAGATTTCTCTTACCGTGTATTTGTCCCATTTCTTCTCAGGATCATACGGCTCCCAGCGACTTGCAGGAAAAATGTGTTTGTTCTTCTCATACCAGCTCCTCAGCACCACTTTCCCTGCATGAGACTTTAGACAAACACAAAAACAACAGCATGACAAATAAAGCTGAGTTTTCTAAGTCGTATGGCATGCCGTTGTATCATGTAATAGGTAAAAGTGGATATTAATGACGCCTTCGTCCAGCTCGCTTGGAACAACCGTCAAATCAGCTTCAATTCGCGGCGCCACCCCGGCAAAACGCAGCTAATTTGACCATCAAAGTGCATTTATTAAGCAAAAGTTAGACTGAGTCACACCTTTACTATCATTTAGAGCAAACAAATAATTGTTTTTAAGTGTTAATCTTGTTAAAGTCGTCCCGTGCGCGCTCCGGTTTATCAGCGGTGACAAGTAACAAACGCGACGCATCAGTGGCGACGCATAATAGATGCGACTTATATGGCAGAGCAACGTATTTATGGATTTTTCCACTTTATTACACATATTTGGACTGATGCGACTTGTAGGGTGGAACGACGTGTACGGCGTAAAATACGGTAAACTATAGAATTAAAAAAAGAAGCCACTTTTAAGTTTGTTTCAACGATGAACCAAAGCTGGAATATCTTAAGAATCAGAGCCAGAACGTCACCCTCTCCCAAACTCCCAACGAAATCCTCACCTCGTCTTTCTCCACGGTGGCGTCGTTCACCAGACGGATGTCGTCGTGGACGTCGAAGCTGAACAAAGGACCTGCGGAGAAAGAATCGACGACAAAGAGAAGAGAAACGAGGACATTTTTTAAAAAGTCTCGTTAAAACAAGGCAATAAATTACACAGTAATGTGGTTGGAGCGATTTGGAACATTTAGGTTCACGAGATTTATTTGCAGAGAAAGAGCTGTTTCGACTTATTGCAAAATGTGAATGGAAAAACTAAACTCAAAACAGAGCTCGTTTTACAGATCGTTTTTACCCAGTTCCACATTAAATCTTCTTACATAAGCAAAAACTTTCCAGTACGTAATGAACTGCACTGGGTTTGGAGGGTTTTGGTCAACGTGACAAAAAGACATTTGTTTCAAGCCATAAGAAAGTTGTCACGTGTTCCTAACGAAGCAAACTGTTGAAAACATTAAAAATGTTCAGAGGCAGCCGGTTGAAAAATACTAATGTGCAAACATCTCTAACAACAACACCGGCAGCCATCTTGAGTTGCGTTCTAGACGTACATCTAATTATTGTTTCCTGAGCTTCTCGTTAAGATCCAACTGTTTGTGAGATATTTTGCTAACAGACAAAGACAGTTGATTTCAATAACGAATGACAAAATCTTGAGCAGTTAAGACTCAAAGTCACCAAGTACACCAAATTAGGCCTGTTGCGATAACGAATTTTGCTGGGCGATTAATTGTCTCTGAAATTATTGCAATAAACTATAATAATGTTTGAAATTTGACAATAATTAGTAATTATTAAGAAATGTTAATTTTTGTGTGTAGTACCTTTTATTGACCACAAAAGACTGAATCGAAGGATGGATAGTGAGGGAGCGAGCAGCGTGTCTCTAAGAAAAATGGGAGGGAGGCCCCTTGACGTGACATGGGCTGTCTCCCCTTTTTGTCAGTTCTCAAAATGGCGGACGTTCGGTGTGGTTTGAGCTCTTTAGCATAGCATTTATCACACAAAGCTTTTAATAATAAAAAAAACAGTAAACAAGTTTTCAACTTCTTTTTGCAGAGAAAAACAACTTTTTAGACGAAGGCACGGGTTTCAACCGTGAATTGTGGAGCTACGACAAGACGGAGGTTTTTTCACGAGGTCGGCCTGTTAGCTTAGCTCGTAGCTTAGCTGCTTTTAACGATCCGAAAACGTGATTATGGACGGTTAAAACAGATTTTAAAGAGAAAGGGAGGAGTCAGTGACGAGCACCGGAGTTGAACCTTTTGTCATCCAGCGTCTTCAGTAGAAAGAGACACGAAGAAACGACGAAGCTGATAAATGAAAATTAAGTTGATGATTTTCATTTATCATGCGATTAATTAATTGATTTATTGTTTATTGCGACAGGTCTTCACCACGTGTTTTGTTTAGAATCAGTCAAATCGACTGACGTACGGCCATTTTTGTCAGCTTTGCTGTGGCAGCCATCTTGGTGGGGGGAGTGGTGGCGCAGAGTTTAGAAGATGGGCCTGTGATCAGAAAGTCGCAGGTTCAACTCCCAGTACCGTCAACATCAAAATGTGGGTGGAAAAGGTGAAACACCCACACCTGCCTCCACCCTCATTCACCCCACTCTGGGCCCCTGAGCAAGGCCCTTAACCCCACCATCTGCTCCCTAAACAGGTCTCTCTTGAAAATGAGTTCTCGTGACTCAATGAAACTACCTGTATTAATAAAGGGTAAATGAAAAAATAAATAAATCTTGAATAATTGACTCTAATAGTTAATCAGCTGCAGATGCACAGGGATTACTTTCTAAAGTTTTCATAATAATCCAGCCAATTGTTCATGAGATATTTTGCCGAGTGTAAAGAAATGAACACGGATTATGACTCCGTCTTCAGCAAGATATTTTTTTTTTATCAGTATCTCTCTCGTTAAACTGTATTAAAGCAGAACATCCCGATCAATTCTTCCATGTTTAACGGTGATAAATCAACACGTTCGACATCAAATCAAGCTGATAAATGTCCTGATCTTTACATGTCAACGTACCGGACTTTCCTCGGGCTTTGGTCACAATGAAGTCGTAAAAACTGTGATGCTGAAAAATTCAAACAGGCGAGAGGAAAAAAAAAAACATAAATTCATCATCTGGGGCTGAAATTACACAACAGATCAAACCCCCAACTAAAAAGATCAGAATCTAGAAACATGTGATTTAACAGAAGATCTGCTGCTTCATCTCAAATCAAGTGGCGATTTTTCATTTCTCAGTGCTCACATGAGGGATTATCAGATCTTCTTTGATGTACATGAGCTGCTCCACTCCAGCAGACCTGCACAGAAACAAATAAGTAGAATGAACCCCTTTTATTAAAGTAGCTTGTGATTTCCTGTGTAGAAGCTGAGGAGTGGCAGCTTTGCCGACATCTAGTGGCAGCTTTAAGGAACCTGCTGGCTCAAAGGGCCTCAGCTAAAACAGTGAAATGTGTTTATCAAAGCACAGCTGATGTCTGAACCTGCCTGAGCTCGCTGAAGTCCTTCCTGAGGACCTCCAGGGCCTTCTGCAGGAAGTTCTGGATGGTGTTCCCCTTCTTCATCTGCGAGAGAAACGCACACGATGCGCGGCTCATTACAACACAAAAAACATGAACTCGGTTCAAAGTTTTGTAAAAAAAAAAAAATAAAATCCCATTTCAGTTTTATGTTTTAACGTATCTCTGGTTACCTTCACGGTTTTCCGATGTCCGGAGCCGTCCCAGTAGCTGAAGGTAATTTCAATCTCCTCATCTAAAGACAACGCACCGTTACTACACTGAAGAAGCTTTGAGGCATCAACACAAACTCTGGAGCTCACTCTTGATCTTCTCCTGCTTCAGCTCCCACTCCTGCCTGAGCTCCTCTCGGAGGCGATTCTCCTCCTCCTGAACACGAGAAACACACAAAAACATCAACGTTTAAACCCATAAACTGCGTTTTTATTAAACGCCGGTGTTAAAGCTGCACGTAACATGAACCTGCTAACACACAGCAGAGTTGGTAACGACGGTCTTACTGACTAATCTCTTCGGCCGAAAGTTAAAAACATTCAGTATTGAAGAGGGTAGAGTTTTTACAGATCAGCCATTAAAACAAATCTTTGACGTTCTTCACGCTGACCTCACCTCTCGGTCTCGATCTGGAAGAAAACTCGTGTCCACGTCTGGGTTTTTCCCCAGTTTTCTCTTCTTAACTGGCCCACCTGTGAGAAACGATGACGATGAGTGAAGAAGACTTTTCACTGAGCTGAACTTCTTTTAGGATGCAAACATTTAGTCAGGTCTGCGCTGACCGTTTTATGATGGTGATGGCAATACTCCAAGTGGTAATGAGTAAAACTAGAAAGTTCCTGAAAGTGCCAGGTTGCGGCCATTTTAAATGTTTGATTCAACAGTACTATGTGTTGGGCATCGCTCTCAGCTACCACCAAACCAAAATTCAGTTTAATACCTCTAAAAATGGTTGATTTATAGTATTTTTTCCTTTTTAGCTCAGGAGGCCATCTTGGATTTTTGATTTGCAATCAGTTTATTGGGGATTGTTCTCAGTTACCAGTACAAACATCAGCTGAATAGCTCTAAAAACGACTGAAATTAGCTTCGGAAGCCATCTTGCATATTTAGATATGAATTCAGAATGTGTTGCTTTCAGCTACCACCACACCAAACTTCAGCGCAATATATTTTAAAATAGCTGAGTTATAGTAGTTTTTTTATTTTAGCCGAGGCAACCATCTTGGATTTTTGATTTTAAATAGGAATGTATAACGAATCCCAACCATAACAAATTTCAGCTTAATATCACAAAGAATGACTGAGTTATAGTCAATTTTGAGGTTTTTAAGATAGCTGTGGCAGCCATCTTGAACCAAAATGGCTCCAAATGTTAATCAGTGTTTTGTTCAGACTCGACTCTAGGTCACGTGACCTCACTGTGGCAGTTAGAGGCTGTGAAAAGTTCTGTCAGTGTTTTTCAATGAGAAAAAGGGAGTCTGTAGGAACGCGCAGAGGGACGAGTTGCTGCGCATTTCTTCTAAATTTAATAAGATAACCACCTAAAAACAATTATTTGTTTGCTCGACTTTATAGTAAAGGTGTGTCTCAGTTGAACTTTTACTTAATAAATGCACTTTAATGGTCAAATCAGCTGCATTTCGCTGGGGCGGTGCAGCAAAATGAAGCTGAGTTGAACAAAGGTGTCGCTCTATGACAAGCAGATTGTGTCATTAATAGCCACGTTGACCTATTACACGATACAACGGCATGCCATACAACTCGAGCGCCATCTAGCAGCTGAAAAATGGTAGTGTTCAATATTTTCAGTCAGAATGAATGAAAAGTCATATCTCAACGATAAATTGGTTTATAAATATGAGAAAAAAAAAATCAATAAATATGTCGTTTGGGCGTGTAAGTCGCAGGGCGTGCAAATGATACAAAAATACAGTATGTTGCCATGGTAACTCAAAACATCAGTAATAGTAACAGCACACATCACAGTGTCAAGTCGGTCATTTTGATATAACACTTGTAGGGGTGCACGTTGCGGTTCGGGACACGTTAAAGTTGATAGAAGAGCCTTTTCAGGTGGTTAATAATAGGTGGCTGCCTTCAGGCAGTCCCCAAAAATATAAATTTATCGTCTGTTAATATTTTCAGTTTCTCTGAATGTCATACTCCTACGAACAAAGTTTCAATTTATTTATCGGAATCGACAGAAAGGACTTGAGGTTCAACATCCTGAACATCAATTACTCACAATCCAGATCTTCCTCTTCATTCTTGTCTTCATCATCATCATCATCATCGTCTTCATCATAATCTTCGTCTTCCTCCTCCTCTTCATCATCGGGATTAAAAGATAAACTGGCAATTTTTCTTTTCTGCTCCTCCTTTCTCTTCTTCTCCTTCTGTTTTTCAAGCTTGCTGTAAAAAAAAAAAAAGAAAGAATAGAAGTAAAACAAATGGAGGCGCGCGTCTTCAAAGGTTTGTAGGCAAACCTGACGGAGCGAGCAGAAAAAAAAGAGGATGTTGGTTTTCAAACGGCGGTGTGCGGTTTTAAGGGAAGACGTGGAGCAACAGTTCAGGGATCGGAGCCATTCAAGGATCAAAGAGCAGAGTTGTCGTAAATCTGTCGCTGTCGAGCCGAAAAGCCTCGGGAGCTGCCAGCCTCATCACGTCTATTTTCTGCGTTTAGGCTCGTTGACGTAAAAACACCGATAAAACTATTTGATTACATCTAAACCCAGAGGTGAAACGCAGCTCCAGTCCTACAGAAAACATCGCCCGAGGCTCTCACGCCTGTTTAAATTGAATCTGCAGATCTTCAGCTGCAGAACCACGAAAATTGAAGCAAATTGTTATTAAGGACTACATCGCTATTTCAACGTTAAATCACTGCTTTTGTTGTCTGCTTCAAAGGATGAGCAAATAATGTCAGCTAAAAACTGCAACAGCTTAAAATTCAGAAGCAACAAGACGCCTGGCTAGGCTCGCTGAACAGGTTTAACACGTTTTTCCTATTTAAAAAAAAAGTTTCAACATTAATATCAAGTGCGAGGAGTTAATCACAGATCAGCAAGTAAAAATAAATTAAAACCAAATTGTAAGTAACTTTTTGTTTTACTTGTTTAAACTGGAAGCGCGATTATTAAAAACTATTTCTACATCATAAGAAGTTGAGCACGAAGTGCACACACGGACAGATTAAAGTAAGTGTTTTGGTTTGCGATTCTCCGACACAGCTCAGAGATAAACGTGTATTCGCTCACAGCTGGAGCTCTTTGGACTGCTCCTTTTTGGCCAGCTGCTTCTCTCGTTCCTTCACCAGCGCCTCCTGCTTGGCTTTCATGTCATTCAGGGTCACCAGACCTAAGTGAGACATTTAAACATAAATTAAATAAACAAACGCAATGAAAGAATTAAAGATTCGTGTTTATGCTTCATTCGTTTTCTTTTCACAACGTCGGTGAACTTTTCATAGATACTCACCAACTGTGCTGGACTTCAGCTCTGCCTCCACAGCATCGTAGTGAGCGGAGAATTTCTTATCAATGTTTGCTTTGACCATGTTATCCTGCAAAAACACAAACACAGTTTAGTTCTGCTGCCGTAGGTTTAGACTGCAGGAGGACGTCCTGACTCACTCTGATGTCTTTACTCTTCATGCAATTTTTGTTTTTCTTTCCCATGGAAACTACATCTGGACCAAACCTGCGCCCTTTCCTGTCCTCTCAGCTCCTGCCAGTCGAGGGAGATGACTGCTCATCCTGATCCTGGTTCTGTTGGAGGTACCTTGTCATGAAAAAGGGACTTGTTCTGTTTCCCCATCGCCACAGACTTGCTCAGGATGGGGGATTGCCCTGAAGTAAAGATCAATTTGCTGGTTTCTTTAAATAGAGAAGTGCGTTTGTTTTATTGGCATTTCATAAGGTGTGTGAATATTTTATATTATGTATATTCTATATAAATGATTGTAATTACATCTGGATCTGTTTTGGAGTTACTTTTATCTTTTGTATATTGCACCGAGAGGACTTTTAAGAATTGACGATGTATAAATTAACTGAATTGAAGGTCACACACAAGGCAGTTACTTTGCAACTCATCCATAATTGTTTTAGCTGCCAAGGTACTTTTGGGTTTGAAGGATTGTTCAGGACTTTATCAAAGAACCATTACGAGCCCCTAAACATCCGCAGGACTTCAGCGGAGAGGAGCCGTGAGGTGCTTTAGGACTGCACAACCCAACAGCTCCTGTACCCGAGGAAGTCCATGGGTTTCCTCAGAGATCCTAAGGATTTTCTATTCCTGCTGCTGTGGAAAGCATCCTCACACAGAACAATACATCTAGGTTTGGAAATAGCCGTGATCAGAACCGCAAAGCCCCAAACACAGGGGTCAGCTCTCCTGTCTCTGCAGGACATTTGAGATGTTGCTCTTTGGAAAAGAGGCTGTTTTAACTGCTCAGCTCAGAGAAGCATGAACTTCATATTCCACCAGCACAGAATCAAACCTGTGAGCATCTGAACAGATTAATGTTCATCTAAAAAGGCACTTTAACTTATTTTAAATAACTCTTCCACGTCTGTATATTTTCATGGCTCAATTTGCACATGACTAACTCGTAATAAAGTGTGTAAATAACTCATAGTTTGTTTTTTTTTTTTATTGGAACTTACTGTTATCCTCTTTTCACATTTTTATTTTTTCAATCATTTGCTCAGCCTATATAAGACAGGCTCCAGATGCATGTACTGAAGACTTGGATGTGATGAAGTCACAAACCTCTGCTATCTTCTGTTTCAGCTGCTCGAGTTGCTCCCTTTCTTTCTCTCGTTTCTTCATCAGCTGCATCGCCCTGCCGGCCTCGCTGGCGGCTCCTTTGTACTGCGCCATCTTGTTTTCTTTATCCCGCGAAGCTTCTTTTTAAAAGGAACAATACAAACAAGCAGCGAACAGAGACGTTAAATCCTAAAGTTAACGACAAATCTTTACAGGACCACGAAAACGCAGATAACTGTCTACCATAACAAGAAAAATGGCGATGGTGGAGTGCATTCTGGGTAATGACGTACCGTTTTGCGACCGACGCAGAAGAACGTCGGAATATGACGTCAACGCGTCGACCATATGGGTGAGTCCCACTTTTCACTTGCAAGTTGTCCAGAAAAACAAAACAAGCCTTATTATCTACAGTTAAAATATCATACATGTCTAATAATGTTTTTTAATCAGTGTTTGAAATAAATAATTTTTACAATTAGCTGGTGAAACAGTACACAGAGTTTTATTATAATACGAGTTATATTATTTAAAAAATTAAAACGTGATTTAGGGATTAAGTAAAATAGCTTCAGTTCTGCCAAATTTGAAATTAACTTAACTATAGAGATTAAAAGGTTTTTTTTTTGTATTGTGTTATATGATCATTTTACAAAAAGAAATACACTTTATATAACAATTTTTTTTTCATATTACATACACTATCAGTCCCATGGTAATGCTTTTCATTATGTCTACGATTATTATATTAATGTTTGCTATATATTACATATCTATATATCTCTCATTAGACTAGAATTGACAACAATAAGAAGCTATTTACAGTACTACTAAAACATATTTTGTATTCAATTTTTTTATTTAAATAGCATTTGTGTAAAAACATGTTATGTTTTTTTTTTATTGTACAGTTACAGTTAGCTATACTACTAATAAAACTACTACAACTCATAATAATAATAATAATAAATATAACAACAAACAGTGTTACATGTAAGGCAAAAAAAAAAAGCATGCACATGTGAATAAAAAGCTGTCTTCTTCACAGCAAAGCAGTCACTTTTAAACTTGATCCAACTCTTGGTGTTTCCCGTTCATACAGTGTCTTCATCTCTCTTTCGATTCCAGTCTTTGTTGGCCAGTGAGATGGAGATCTGAGTGCAGCAGAGCGCGAGAGACAAACAGAACGGGGAGATGAAGACGTTCACGGCGCACATAAACAGGGACCGCAAGCAGGGAAGGAAGGTGTTACTCAGCTGTAAACAAGGAACCAGGACCCTGAAAAAAAACACACAAATGATTGAGAGATTAAAACGTGGAGAGGTCATATGATAATAAATACACGTAGATAAGCGTAATTAAAAACAACAAGTTATAATTTGACTTTTCGAGATAATTCTGAAGTTTTAGGTTATTGTGGCATTCATTTGGAGGTATTCTAACGAGCAGCAGCAAAACAGTTTAAGCTCATCACAAAATTTGAGTTACTTTTATATAAATGTTTCGGAAAAAGGAAATTCCCATCAGTAAAGATTAATTTGATTGAAAAACAGAAGAAAAAGCAGAATATCCAATCGTACATTTTAGTGTGCTGAAGATTATCGAGTGAAATACTGGATTAGTTGTTTGTTGTGGGCATGTCTAGTTCACAGCTGTCATTCGTTGTATTTTCTGTGGTGAAATGAGCGTTCAGTTCACGGCCTACAGGACCGCTGCATACCAGACACGCAGGCAGGCGAGAAGAGCCAGTAGAAAACCACAGAGGAAGGCGAGGGGCACAGCAAACAGCAAGGTGAGGCAGCGGTACGTCCAGATACGAGTCCGTTCAAAGCCCACCAGGCTGTGAATCCAAACTCCATCCATGCTGTAAGGAGCCGTGGGTTCAGCCAGCACGTCACTGACCTCCACCTATAAGAAGAAAGAAATTAAGAAACATATAAACCACTCTAGCAATATTATTTTTTCCTGTGCAATAATTGTAAACATTTGAGCATAAACTAGCTGCAAGTTAAAAACAATAAAATGCTGCAGAATGTGACCTTTATCTATAAAAAGATCCCACTCAAAGAAAGTATGATGCACTTTATGGAAGGCCGGTAGAACCGTGGGAAACTAAACATGAGACGGGCTTTGAAACTGAAGAAAACCAGCATCTGAAACATCTTTATCAGAACACGACGGCACATAAAATATGATTCAATATGTTGATTTTTTTTCCTATAATTTCTCAAGTGAATGAGGCTGACCTGATTGGACAGAAAAAAAATGTATGGGGCTTAGAAGAGCAAGGATCTGCAAGCTTTACAAATGAAGGAGGTGTTTTTACAGTTTCTTCTACTAAATGAAGAGCAACTAAATCTACTTGAAACTTGAGACCAAAAGAAATAATCATTAGGTTTGAATCGTTGTAAGCTGTAACTAGAAAAATCGCATCTCCTTCGAAAAAGCTCATCTCTGAAGAACTTGCTGAAAAACAGCTGAAATTAACAACAACAAAAAAACATGCTGAAAATGTAGAACAAGCGTAAATCAGCAGGAGAAAGAACAAAGAACACAAAAGTTGAAATGAGTGCAAAAAATGTGGAATTAGCTGAAAAAGTTAATATTAGCATAAAAACAGCTACATTGTAGCTGAAATAACTGAAACTAGCTGAAAGGAGCATTAATAAGTTGAAATTAGAAGAAATAATTTAATTAGGCTTAAAGTAGCAAAAATTACCATGAAAATTTTGAATTTATCTGAAAACAGCTGAAATTTTCTAAAATATGCTAAAACGGCTAGCTGAAAAGGTAGAACAAGCTAAAATTAGCATAAGAAAGCAGAAAGAACACACGTTTGCCCAATTAGGATGAAAGAAGCAGAAATTTGCACAAACAAGTGAAAATAATCTAAAAAAAAAACTGAGATTTGCATAAAACCAGCTGAAAAGTAGCTAAAAAAACCAGAAAGAAGCTTAAATGACCGGAAGGAAGGGGAGAGAGCACATTTTTACTTTATTAGGTTGAAAAAGGGTGAAATGAGTGCAAAAAAATGTAGCATTAGCTGAAAAAGCTAAAATTGGCATGAAATAGCTAAATAGCAGCTGAAATAGTAGAAAAGGCTTAAACTTGCAGAAATCAGCTGAAAGCAGCACAAGCTAGCAGAAAGTTAGAAGAAGCACAACATGTTGTAGTTGCAGAAAGGACGTGAAAGGAACACCTTCAGGTGTCGGTTGATGCCGTTTGGATCTCTGTTGGCCATGTGGGTTGGAGTGGGTGTGGCGGGGTCTGCAGGAGGGGTTGGAGGTTTGGGACCTGGAGTTGACGCTTTGGATGCAAACTCTGGTGGAGGTGGAGGAGGAGGAGTGTTCATCTGTTCTTCGTCACTGTCGTCTATCTTGCACTCCACCAGGCTGTCGTCGTTCACCATCATCATCCTCACTGATAGAAAAGGCTTTAGAAACATACATTTGTTTAGTAGATCCACTCCCAGATCCAGACCCATCCAACCCCCTTTCCCCCCTCAGGCTGGGAGCCACAAGCACCACCTGTTGTCCAGTCGCCCAAAATCTGTCACCAAAATCTGTAAATAGCTGCTGCTGATTTTAGGACGTATTTTATACTTAAGTGAAACAAACACTGCAGATATCGTACAATAGCTGCAAAAGTAAAAGAATTTCAAGCAGTTCTGAACGCATGCAGTCTCTCAGTTATTGTGCAAAACATGCACAGCACACAGAAAGATGGAGCTTCTGCATTTATTTGGTAACCATCCGAACGGATCTGCAGATGATGTTCTGAATGATAAATCAAGTCTTACCTCACCGAAAAAGAAACCTCAGTCTTGCATTAGCAGCAAAAACCTTTACAGAGCGACGGGGCGGGCTGCAGAATTTCAATGTAAAATGTGGAGGATTCATCCGCCTCATTCCAGCGTTCCTCAGAGTTGATCTGGCATTTACACCAAACACCGGCAGACAAACGGAGCTCGACACTGACCGAGGCGCTAATGTGGTGCCACCATACTTCTTATCCCGTGTGTGCGAGTCTTGGTCGGCTACAGGAAAGGGTTATTTTAGGAGAAGGAGTGGATAAGTTCAAAAGATCACGTTACAGTGGGGGTGCTGTCTTAACACAGAAAGTGAAACAATGTCACACCCACACATCTTACACACAGTCCATGATCCATACTAAAGATCTCAATGTTAAAGATAAACAGTATGCATGGTTTGTTGATATTTAACAGCAAAGCTCCTCCCACTCACACCTGTTCCCCATTCCCATCAGTCCTTTTCCCTTGGTGTTTCAGTTCACGTTAGTCGATGTGCTTTCTGCTCCTGTTCAGCTTTGCCTCCGTGTTTTATCATTTGTGGTTTTGCTGCCATGTTCGTTGTTTTTGTTCAATATATCCTAAATTGTAGGTTTTTCTTTGAGCTCCTCGTGTTTGTCTGGATTTCTGGGTCCATTATCTGCAAACTGTGACTAGTCTTTGCTAAAAAAAACAAAGTAATGCTAAGAGTTGGGCAGCATGGTGGATTAGTGGTTAGCACTATTGCTTGACAGCAAGAAGAAGGTCCTGAGTTCAATCCCCGGTCTGGAGTTTGCATGTTCTCCTCGTGTTTACGCGGCTTTTCTCCGAGTCTGGTTTCCTCCTAAAGTCTAAAACAGGCATGTTGCTTTCAGGCTCCATGAAAAACAGACCTGTGGTCTCAAGCTAAACCAAAATGCAGCAAAAGGCTAGCTAACAGTAAAAAGTAGCAAGAAGTTAGCGATAAGCTTAAAGTAACAACATGCCAGCAAAAGGTTAGCTGAAAGTAGCAAAAAGCTACCAAAAAAGTATCAAAGGTTAAAGCAGCAAAAGGTTAAATAAATATAAAAGACTAAAAGATAAAAGAACAGGTTCAAAGATAAAAAGACAGAAGTAGCAAAACAGTTGCTTATTTCGAGGTAAAAGCCTAAATTAGCAAACGGCTAGCTCAAAGCTGCAGAATGATAGCTAAAATCTAGATGTAGCTAAAGCCAGTTGAAAGTGAAAAGCAGCAGAAATGTAGCTAAAAGTAGCAGACGGGAGCTAAAGCCTACGGTGAAAAGTAGCAGAAAGGTAGTTAAAAACTAAAAGGTTGTCAGAAATAAACTGCTGAGTAGTCTGAACGCTGAATCAGCGTTCACACAATCATTGTGTTGCACTTCTGTTTCTTCCTAATGCTGCACACTGAACTAAAAACATCCATGAGTCCAGAAACAGCACTACAGATATAGAAATGTTTCCATGGTGTAAGGGATAAAAATATTTAGGTCAGACAGTGCGATGACTAAATATTTGGCGCATGGTATCTGCCGCACATCCTTCCCAAAGAATGGTAGATTAAAAAAAGCCAAAAGTGGCAAAAGGCTAGCTAAAAGCTACGCAACCATGAAATATCTTGTCTTGTTTAAATGCATCAACAAGGTCTTAATCGTGAAGTGCTTTGTCATCTTTATTGTAAGCATTTCTTTTGAAACTCACATGTACAGTTGACCACAGTAAACTTTTTAACACCATCAAACAGTGACTGAAAACACCGAGGTGTTTTATTCACAGAAGCAGAATCGTTCAAGAACAAAGACTCTCGCCTCTGTGCATCACTGAAAGAAAAAGACAGAGGGGAAAATACAGATGTTCAAAATAGTTTAATGCTTTTCGAATCAAACTGCAAAAGAATCCCAAAGCACATTTAAACTGAACCAGTGGATTGGACTACTTTAAATACGGGGGGGCAAAATGAGTGGAGGAAAGAAAGAAGAGTTTTCATTATGGCTCTCAAATGTTGCCGTAGGTTTCACAGTTTCAAGCAGAGGAACTCTCTGAAGTCGGGGACCATTGTGGCTCTTGAGGCTTGGGCACAGTTTCTAGCTGGAGAGTGCTGGTGAGCTTCATTTGACTTGGAAGTTAGAACAAAGAGCTGGGACCGAACACACAGCTGAGCTGACCACCGTCCAGCAGGTCAGTTCGCCACGGATTTGAAGGTTGAAGGATTTGAGGTTCCTCCAACCTCCTGTCAGAAATCCAACCTGGGGAAGAGGGCGTTCAAATTGAAATTTCCAACTTCAAAGTCCGAATGAAACTCCCCGTTTGTCAACCAAAGACCTGAGTGAGAAACCCTTACGTTTTCTTTCGACGCCAAACCTGAGTTAGCCCGTCTTTAACGCTGCAAAAGCCCTGAGATCTGGCCTGTAGCTCAAGCCATTTATCACACGTAACCGGGAATGTGTTTTTTTCTGCGACTGTGTAAAAACAAACAAAGACAAAGTTTTCCCAGCTCACCCAGATGGACCTTAAAGTGTTCAATATTCAGTAAATAAGCAGAAAATAACCCACTGATTAAGTTGTATAAAATATAACATTTTAAATACATTTTTTTATTGTATTATTCTGTGAAATGCCATATTTTTATTTTAAAAAGAGCTCTTAAAAAGATCCCACAGCTCTGCTGAAGGGAAAAAGATACTTTTTCCATGATACCAAAGCCATCTAATGTCATTCTTTGAACTTTGCTCTTTAATGTTTTGCAGTTTTTCAGAGGACTATTCTCACTTTAAAAAAAAATACTGAACACTTTTGGATCCATCATCTTTATCCTGGTTCACATTTTATCATTTAATATGCGATGTTTAAACTTTTCTGGTCTTTTCAAGTAAAATAAATGTAAAAAAAAAAATAAAAAAAAGTGAAGGCACTCCTAGACACAGGACCCAGATCAGTTTTCTTTTTAGAATTAAAAAAAAAAAATCACGGTGTGCTGATCTCAGACCTGCCACTAGGGGCAGCTTAAGGGTTTTGTTGATGTGCCATCAGTTCCACACAAAGCAGACTTTTTGAAGTTTGTTTGGCGATATCACTCTAAACGCTGTAAAATCCAGGAGAACAAAGCAGACCAGAACCTAAAATCAACACCAAAACAAAAGCAGCTGGAAAACAGACACTTGACGCACGGCACCAAGACAAGCGGCACTATGAGATGGAGGACGCGACTGTTACTCACGTGTCCAAAAAATAAAAAATAAAACAACAACCAAGAACTAAGATCATCACTAAATGCCTGAAAGAGCATCAGCGTAGTCATCGAAGAAATGAACCAATAATTCCTCTGTTGTTCCTTCTTCATCTCAGTCCACCAGATTGAAAAGCACCAGTTTTTCTTAGACCAAATCCCTTTTTGACAGAAGGGACATTTTGAGTGAGAGAGGAAGACGAGGACGATGAAGGAGCAGGGGTGATGGGGGCGATGAGGGGGGACGGCTGCACCGGAGGCTGGCGGGACAGGAGCTCCTTGAACACAGAGTTCATCTGACGGCTGATCGCCTCCTGACACAAACAGGACAGACAAACAGCACAGAGGCTGCTTAGAAGAAGTGCAGCAGCTTCAGAGACATTTAAAGAAGTCTGACTGTGAGCTCTGAGTCGCTCTCTATGAAAGGTGACAAATTCAGACATCGTCTCTTTAAGTTGTACAGGCGGTTGTCAAACTCTGAGACTTTCCAGAAAAATGTTCCCCTCGTTCTTATCATACATCAGTTTCTTCTTCTTCAGAGGAAGAAGACGACGACGACGAATAAGACGAAAAAGAAAAATATGAAAAAGAATAAGAAACATAAGAATAACAACAACAACAAAAGAATATGAATAAGAACAATAAACAACAAGAATAAGAATAGGAAAAATAAAAATAATAAGAAGAACAATAATTAAAATAACTAGAAGAAGAACAACAAGAATAATAATAATAATAAGAAGAAGAAAAGAACAAGAACAACAACAACAATAATAATAAGAAGAAAAGAACAATAAGAAGAAAAAGAACAACAATAATAATAATAAGAAGAAGAAGAAGAAGAAAAGAACAAGAACAACAATAATAATAATAATAATAATAAGAAGAAAATAACAATAAGAAGAAAAAGAACAACAAGAATAATAATAAGAAGAAAAGAACAAGAACAGCAACAATAATAATAATAATAATAAGAAGAACAATAAGAAGAAAAAGAACAACAAGAATAATAATAATAAGAAAAGAACAATAAGAACAACAACAATAATAACAAGAAGATAAGAACAACAACAACAACAATAATAATAATAATAAGAAGAAGAACAATAAGAAGAAAAAGAACAACAAGAATAATAATAAGAAGAAAAGAACAATAAGAACAACAACAATAATAATAACAAGAAGATAAGAACAACAACAACAATGATAATAACAATGATAAAAAAACTTCTAACAAGCATACTGATCACTGCGGAGCCCTTATTTGTTTGTAAATTCAGCTCCTGTTTATACGTTTATTGATTCAAGAGGAAATAGCGTCTGCTGCAATCATCTTCTTAGAGATGCACTTATGAAGGGATTGAGTACAGTCTCACTGAAAAATGTTTCTGCTTTTTGGTCACGTTGGTTTCCTACTAGTTTTGGAATACAATTGTTTGGAAAGCTCTTTAGTTACATCAAACTGTAGCATGAAAGACAACCCAGTTGTCCAGAATAAACCCCTGATCTGCTGATTGTGTTTCACCAAAATAAGACTTCAAAGTTTAATCAAAGTTATCTGATCAGATTATTATTTTAGATGCTGACATCATCCTAACAGACTTCTTCCCAACATCTAGGTACTGAGGTTGTTCAGGCAGCAAAAAACGCAGCCTCGATTTAAATTGATTTCCATCTTTGCATATCAGAACATGCACAACATCTAACGGGTGAACTGAATTAAGAGGGAAGAACCAAACTACTGACCTTGTCAACTGGTGCTCTCTCTGGCTGAACAAATGGAGATTTGTCTGTGAGTTTGCAGCTGCCCTGTCTTACAGTGTCCAAAGTGTGTCTTCGTTCATGAGACCTGCAGGAAAATCATCACCAAGAACGTCACTCCTACTCTTGAAATGCCACACTACGAGGTTATAACTGCAAATTAAACATTTCTCAAAGGTTCTTCTATGATGTTAATTTCCTCTCAACAGTTTTCTGTTTTTATTGTTCTTTAACAGACATATGAATGATAATATAGTTGATGTTCAAGATGTAATGGGTATGTCCTGTTAGAATGCTTTACACTAAATGCAACACTGAGGGGAGTAAGAGTGAACCAAATCATACACTCAGGGGTTCCCAATACCGGTCCTTGAGGAACACCATCCAAAAAGTTTTACTTGTTTTGACACACCTGATTTGAATGAATGGGTGGTTAACATTTTGCAGAACTTGAAGTCATTAAGTAACTGAACCAGGCGTGTTGGAGCAGGGAAACAACTGAAACATGCAGGATGGCGTTCCTCAGGGACCAAGGTTGGGAACCATGGCTCTAGACTACAACAAAAAAAAAGTATATTTTCATGCAGTTGTGGAGCCTAATCTTAACGTATAAAATCCTAAATGAAGTAGCTTTATCCCTAATGCACATTTTGGTTTTATTACACAACGACGCGTGTACTTTTAACCTTTTATTCAATTTGGACAGTATTGGTGATAAATCAGTTTATATTGACCAATAAATTGGGTCAACGTTGTCCAAGGACCTCCTATTTGGGGTACAGTATGTTGAACTTTTACTCTTAACATCTTGTTAAGCTGATCACCAAACGATAATTAATTTATCGTAACAGTCAATCAGATAATATGTTTAAATGGTTCGGGCATCATTACAGCAACACCACAAGGTTCAAATGAAATCACAGCAGTGGCTTCCGCAAATCTAGCACTTTTCTTTCTCTGCACTTTATAGTTAGAGCCTCGGCATTAACAGACTTTCTAAACGTTATAGTTCTGTGAATATTGGATGTACACAGCAGCAGCAGAGGCGTTCAGCTTGGTTTGTGCCCCAGGTGTGCCAGGCTTACACTGGTAGTTGTCTTGTGGCTGGGGAAGTTTGCGGCTTCCAGCTCGGGCTGCCCTCACTTCCTCTCTGTCTCCCTGGCAACGAAGCACTATCACTGTTTACCCGCATCCTGTCAAGACACGCAGAAACTCTGTGACTCGATACCCTACAGTTCCACTGCCCGTGAGCACAACAACGTGCAACAATGGCCGTCTGCGTACGGATCTCTTTGTGCAGACACAAGCTCAGAAGTGCAGATGAGTGTGGTTCTGGAGAATACCTGGTTGGGTTCTTTGCGTTCGGATCTTCTACCGTCAGGTTTCCCGTGCTGCCTCCTCCGAAATGACTTTCATCTTTTTTCCCTCGTTCGCTGATGAAACAATCGCCAACAGAGTTTAGATGTGAGCCGAATGATCGATGAAAGAAATCTAAGGAAATTAGAACTATTTCAAATAAATTCGTGTGTAGACTGGAATACTGCAGCCACTAGAAAACACAATGAAAAACGTCGTGAATTAAGAACACGCACGAGAAATGTCTTTGCTAAACATGTTTTAAATCAAATATTAATATTAAAGCTGCTAAACAGTAACTCGGTATTATAGGAATTTGGTAAATCCAGTTAAATATTTATAAAAAAAATTTAATTTACAAGTCAACTGCTTTAAACCTGAAAAAAAATCAAGCAAGTTTAATTTTTTCAACAAGACCACACTATGATTTGGTTTCTGCAGCTGTAAAACACCATTTGATCACTTTCCGATGTTTATTATCATTTTGAAGAACATACTTAGAATTTAGAATATTAATGGGAGAATGTAAATAAATATTTAAATAAATAAATAATTGGAATAATGCTTTTTTTTTTTCTCCATATGTTTAAATGTGAGGTTAGCTTTAAGCTAAGATGACTATTTTAAGTTAAGGTAGTTAGCTTAGCTTAAAGCTAAAGGTTAAGCTAACCAGTTTAGCTTTTTGGTTTAGGTTGGCCAGTTAGTCTTAGCAACTTTAGCACATAACCTTTGAATTAAGAGTGGGAGAAAAAAATAAATAAATACCAGTATATGCAAATTCCTAGTTATGATACTGCGCCCACAATAAATACATTTTAAAAATGAGGCTACCGATGAGTAGGAATGGAAAAAACACATATGTTTGATAAAATATTCAAACTTGGCCGTCTTTTTGAACTCCGGGGCACGACACAGACGAGAAATCTGGCACGCACTGAACTTTAATTAAAACTTTAATTGTCATGTTGTCCGTAGGATGTTTTTAATGTGCTATAGGATCCCTGACAGAATCCTTCTAAAGTTCTGCTTTGAGTTTGAAATGTCTGACAGCTTGTTCTCTGAAGGCACAAATGAACCTTTTCAGCTTGTAAAGATCCTGTGAGGAACCAGAGAAATGTAAAGATGCGTAGAAGTGTGTGATCTTGTTGCAAAGACAGCACACCTGCCATTTGAAGACAAACGGGTTCATTTTCAGCAGCAGCTTTTAGAAATACAATTTCCAAGAGTGCGCGTGTTTCAGGCAGCAACAGCTGCTCCGCTTTAGGTTCACCAAGTAGAAAGGGCACGACAAATTACCCAGAATCACCTTTGTGCCAGTGAGAATGGTTGAGTTATGGAAGTGTCACTCACCCTTCCAGCACACTGATGTACTTGTGTGGGATCAGACCCTTGACCCCTCCGACCTCGCCTCTCCACCAGTCACAGGAGGCTTTGCTGTGAAGAATGAGAGGATCTCCCTGCTTGAAGGAAAGCTCTGCTGGAGATCTGGCTGTGTAGTTGAACATAGCCACCGCCTCCCACTCTGCACACAGTTTTTTATTAAACACCCTCATGGTTACAGCCTAATTAATAATGGTAATCTAAAATGTTCGTGCACTGACCGTCTTCACTGGCCATTTGCTCAGACTCTCCGTCTCCCTCCTCTGTAATGGGTTCGCTGCACACAAGCGGAAAAGATTAAAGTTGTTGGTTGCACACACACATTTTTCCTTCTGCTTGACACACAAACCAGAACTGGGACATCACAGCCCCTAAGCATACAGTTCAGTTAGGCAATGCTACATGCAAGAATTTTTATTTTGTCCACAGCAGGGGTGCCCACACTTTTTCAGCACGCGAGCTACTTTTAAAATGACCAAGTCAAAAATAAGGCCCTGTTTACACGAGAACAACCTCTGGAAACGTTTGTTTTTTTTATGTTTATTGGGGGCGATAAACAAAAAATGAGAGGGTTTATACAAAAACGCTGTAGTTTCCATGTCAGTTGGGTTGCCAGATATAGTACTGTGGCTTTAAAATGATAGTATTTTTACCTAAACTGTCATATCTGAGTAAAGATATTCTAAGATGAGGTGTGTGTTGTGTTTGTTGAACATGTGCACAGAAAAGGAGGAGATAAATAAGACATTTTAAATTTATCTGGCAACCCTGATCAGCTGCATTCATTGTGGATGACGGTTACGTCCAAACTGGTGAATACACTAACGTCTCTTTGAACAAAAACACTCTGCTGTCTGCCGTTTATTATAACTGTTGTTAGTGCAAAGCCTC